GATGTAGAGAGAGCATATGTGCATGTTGATTATGAGACAGATCACCGGCCTGAGCACTTCTTGAAAAAGGAGTTGTAAGCGGCGATGGATAACGCATGGAGATAAGAAGAGTAGTGCCGGATAGATAGGCACTGAAGATGAAAAGTACTGCGCTATGGAAGTTGTATATATCCATCTCGACTCTTGTCCTCTTTCCATATCGACTATGATAACCAAATCACCACGCCATCACCCCCACCAATCTACTTCCCCTTCCTCCGATACGGACTCGCCATCCCACCACCTACCCTCCCACCCTGCACATTCCACTCAGCCGCACTCCCCGCTCCAGCCCTATCCTCAGAAAGATCATAGTCGCCAAAGTTTCTTTCTTTGAAATCATTCCAGCGCTCGCGGAGCGTTTTCTTCTTGCGATCTGCTCGTCGCTGAGCGTCTAAATCGGTATATTCGGAACCGAGGACTGCTGCGATGGTACTTGCGGGTGCGCCGCTGCTGTGTCGTTGGTTTGTGGGTGCGGGGCGTGATGTAGGCTGCTTTTGCGGGTCTGTAGAAGAAGTGGAGGGGTTGGTAGGGTATTTTGGTGGCTGGGCTGATGGCTCGGCGTCGTAGTAGATGGGTGGTGTATCGTTGGGGTCGATGTTGTTTCTGTTGACGTTGGCGTTGGATTTGGCATCAGTCGAATCCGACTTTTCGATGCCCTGGGTGTAATCCGATTTCGCGCCCATGTTGTGCCTGGCGAGAGTGTCGCAAGTGGCTGATAAGTTCGCAGCGTTGTGGATATAATGGCAGTAGCTTTGTGCATAACAATGGTCAAACCAGTGGGACCAACATCGCCAATGCTTGGTTGACGTAGGGTGGGGTGACCAATTTGGTACGAGCTCCTCCGTACTTTACGCCCGGGTGGCACAGCATGGTCAAAACTTCCAAAATAAGAGACATAATGTGCCGTAACTCCGACGTGGCGCTTGGATAATCTAAGCGATTTACTCGACTTATCGGTTTAGTAGCAATACTACTATCTTGTTTCTACAAATGCTACTGGCTACAGCGTCGCTTCTACAACCAGTCGTTATAGTAGGATTCCTATAACCAAGGTAGCCGTCAGCACTACATACAAGGCCTCCAAATGATCCTTCATAAACAGATTGATCCCACCAATCATCGGAATAGAGCACTTCACCAGACCCACCACTTCCTCGCGATGAACCCATTCGCGCCCATCGGGATACATGCCAACGTCGTCAACGGCATTGTTGTCACCTTTCGTCAGCACGAGTTGCCTACGCACTTTTACGTCAGCCTTTTCTAGATGAAAGAGACTTATTCAACTTTGATTCGCAAACGTGCCTTGTTTGTATGGTCATTTCATTGCTACTCTCATCAAAATGAACGCTCTGATGGTGCTCGATCTTAATTGCACGATGCACCATCGGCTCTTTTTTCCCGCTGAACCACACCACAGGTATATCGCCAACTCGGATCGTCTCCTGTCTATTCCATAGGAAGATGATATCGCCTCGATAGAAAGTCGGCTCCATGGATTGTGAGGATACCACGAGGATTGGATGCGTGGAGTTTGTGACGATGCAGAGACTGAGATATGATGTGATGAGTGTTCCCACCATCCACACGATGGGAGCAATACTGGTGATTCGAGAGATCGAAGGCCATGGTGAATGCATGTTGAAGTGATCGAGTTAGAGTGTGGCAGCAGCTGTGAGAGCAGATGAAAGAGCGATTGTATTCAAGAAGGGTACAATAGTACTGGTGCGTTTTGAACAAAAGTATCTAGGTATAATCGTCAGCGAAGGACACCGTCATCCCCTTGTTAGCGATTTGACGTATCTTGGCAAACCGGGAAAGCTTTCAGTCGTTACCGATACAATGACGAGGAAGGCGAAAGCATGGTGAGAAAGGATTCCTCGGCCACCTCATAGACTTGGAAGGTTGCCTTGAGCTACTCACACGAAACAGGCAGGTCGTATCTTGGCCGTAGAATTGTTGAGGCCGTGTTTCCGTGAGAAGAGTGGATAGAATAGGAAGGACGAGAAGGACAAGAAGCTTGAGGTGTGTGAGAAGAATTGGAAGGATGAGAAGGATGTTGGGATCGGACCGTAGCGACCACCTTCTTGAGACGGGGCGTATGTCAGAAGGATCGTTGCCCTGTATATATCGAGTTGTTGTTGCATGCAACATTACGTATGGATAAGATGTATAGGTGCAAGGCCCGTGTATCCTGCTTGTGATTAGATGGGTTAAATTCGTGTACGGCTTGGAGTCGAAACGCCTTGCCGAGCCTATGTTCAGGCAAAATTAAAGATGCCGGATAGGAAGGATCATGTTGGTGTGAAGTTACGAGAGACATTGAAAACAATCCATCTTGGCTTACTTGGGATCGAAAGAAAGGCCCCCCATTTCTTGCTATAAGAATGATCATCGGTATCATACTGTTGCTCTACATCCCCACTCCCACTCTTTCAACCAGACAATTCAATCCCTCCAGCATAATGCATACCAAACTACTTCTCACGGGCACCGCTCTAGCAGCGCTGTCCACGATCCCTTCTTGCCCAGCACCAATGGCCGGTGCAATCGTATCCGGAGTTATTGGTGCCGTCGCTGCTCCACTTGCTGGCGGTATCGTTGCAGTGGGTCTCGGTGCCGGGGGCGTTTTCGATGTGCCTCAGTGCTGCGCCCGCAAGTTCACACGATCTAGCAAACGGACCGAGCCTATCGAGATAGCTACTCGTCAGTCTGAAGACTGGCCTCCAGGTGTCTCTGAAGAATCTATCGAGCAGTGCAGGGTCACTAATGAGGGCCGACAAGTCACGCTCACAAGGACGGGCGAGTACTGTATGTTGCTCTCAAATTAACTCAGAATGTTGGGTGCTAACAATCGTGACTTGTAGCTATGCGCATTGAAGGGCTAGCGCCAGAGTGCATGAACTTTGCGGCATTGTTCACTGATGAAGGAAGCCCTATCCCTTGCGGAACGTCTTGCCTGGACTACGTGGACTTGCCTCAGGACCAAATGGTCAACTTGGTCAATCTTGCAAATGGTCTTCTCTGAAGATATGTCATTGGAAGGCTCCCCGCTCTTGGTGTCCGAGTTGCAAACTACCGTCACGGAAGATTAGCAGAGTACTGGAGATGTACTTTGATGGGTTTATTCAAAAGCACGAGAATGTCACGTTCGCTAGCATTTCGCGTCAACAGTCACTCTTTCATATATTTTCGATTGAAGTGTGATAGCTCAGCATGGTGCCCAGCTGGTCGATGTTTGTATGCACATTCGTCTGGGATAGTACATATCTCTTTATAAGCAAATAGAAACATGCGTTCTGAATTATCCCGGAAGTTCCGGATTAAAGTGATCATGAGAGCCACAGGCTTCGGGGCGACCAAGCATACAAGGCTTACATATGTATTGGAGCGGATATATAGAACAAAAGGACGCGTGCGCAAAGACGCGCTAATCTCAACGGAAGACTTGGTAGCCGAACTTCCTTAATTGGCTTTGAATGCCATGCACGCTGGAGGCCGTGCTCGGCGTAGGATATATAATTGGCGTAGCCTGCCCAACATATCTTGGTTCTCATCTGTACGTCGACCGCTCACTCTCAAACTCTCCTCATCACGAAAATGTTACCACTGGCGGCCTCTATCCCGATCTTGACTTTCTGTGTCTCAACAGCAACATTCCTATTCACTATTCAATCACCCAGGAAGATGCGCGTCTACCTATCGCCTCTGTTAATGGGAAGTGCAATCATCTCTCTTTGCACATGCTCAAACCTACCAGAGTTCCAAGGAATTCCAGCACTATGGGGCCTGTTCCAATGCATCTGGATGCACGATGCTATGTCGTTGTTATTCTTCGAGGATTTTGAGCTGCCTCCAGGCACAACGAAAGAGCGCTGGATCTACGCTTATAAGAGCTGGTGTGATCCTCAGCGACGTGTGGACTGGGTTACACTGCCACAAAGCATGAAAGATGAAAACGTACTACCTTCACAGCGAGTAAGGTTCGCGTGTAATCGGCTGGCCAAGTCGATGTTCTGCTGGATCTTACATTGGTATGCCGTAGCAGCGATACCGGGCCATTTCCGATTGATCTCTAAAGACTTTGCGCCTGAGCGAGAAGGCTACATCAAACGACTCTTGTTTCAACATCCAGGGCCGCCGATCACGGCCAGAGAGACCGAGATTCGTATCTTCGTGTCGTACTATTGGATCTGGATATCGTATCTCATGCTAGATACGTGCCATGTCGTCCTTTCCATCTTCTTTGTTGCAGTCCTGCGCATCGATGGGCCAGGAGAGTGGCGACCGCTGTTCGGCTCTCCGTTGGAAGCCTACAGTATTGGGCGGTTTTGGTCACGGTTCTGGCACAGACTCACCACGCCCGCGTGCATCGCCTCTGGACATCGAATTACCAGAAATTTGTTAGGCATGAGAGCCGGCTCGCGGAGCGAAAAGATTCTAGTCGCTTTCTGGACTTTTCTAGTCTCCGGACTATTCCATGCGATTTCGGACTGGCAAGCCGGAGATACTACTAATCCGTCGAAGGACATCAAGTTCTTTCTGACAAGCTTCGTCTCTGTCATGGTGGAGTTACAAGTTGCGAAGCTATCTAAAGGGCTGTTGTCGATCCATGGTAGCTATGGCCGCATGTTCCGCTCTGCTGTCGTGGCGAGACTGGCAGGATATGCATGGGTACTGTGCTTTTTCTTTTGGATTTCGCCCAAGTGGCAGTATGCTAAGCTTTATCGAGCCGTGAAGGATGCAGAGTACCTTGCTTTGTTGAAGGCGTTAGGATTGTAGTAACGTGTGCACCACCCTTCACGTACTAGTTTGGGTATTGGAAGGCCTGAGCTGAGCGCTGTATACATATATCATCTGTACACGGTCTTGAAGTCGAGTTCCTATGTTGGTAGCTGATGTCGAGTCCTGCTCAACATATATATAATGTCGTTCCATAACAACCTGACCGTACTCAACTAACGAATATATGCAGCAAGAGATGAAGACGACGTAGGCGTACCCTTACCAGCCAACCTCTTACTCCTCCTCATCCCTCCCACTGACCCATCCTCTACCTCCTCTACAACTTCACTGCTCGCAACACAACTCGGCGGATCCTCCCTCCTAAACTCCCTACTCCCAGACACGGGCTGTGCATTAAAACTCGCAGTCCTCCCAGCCGCCCATGGCCCATTCTCAAACGTCGAAGACTGGCGCCGGTACTTCGCATTATTACCAATAAGCGCATCAACAGCCTCCTCATCCATACACACATCATCCATGCCCTCAATGGAAAACTCATCGAGGTCTAAATTAGACCAAGAAGGATCGTTGTTAGCGGGGAAGAAAGCGCTGAGGCTTTGTTTGCGGTCGTCGAAGGGGATTGCGGGCGCGTAGTTGGACATGAAGTCGTTGGATGGAGGAGGGGCGGTGGATTGGGCTTGGGCTTGGGCTTGGTTGGGGAGGTCGGCGGGTTCGGAGTAGTTGATGCGGGGTTTCTTGCGGAGACCGGCGCGGGAGCCTTGACGGGGTTTGGTGCCGGCGATTATTTCCTCGAAGGGGTCGGAGTCGTCGGAGTCGGAGAGGGCGGTTATGCGTCCTGTAGAGCGTACCGTGGACGTGCGTTTGAGTGCCGGACGCTCGTCATCAGATGAGTCGCTATCGGTAGCCTGGCGCTTCTTAGAACGCGAACGTTTCCGGGAAGGAGTCTGTCGCTCATCATCAGAATCCGCGAAAGTGATGGTTCGACGCGGTGTTTTGCGCTTACCACCAATGCCTGCCTCGTCTTCTTTGATGAATTCATCTCGCTTCTTCTCCATTTCCGCAATGCGCTGATTGATCTCCGGATGAAGGATGTCGTAGTAGGCCGAGTAGTCGAACTCCTTCTTTGATCCCTCTCGCTTATAGTCTATATAGACATCCATTTTCTCGATCTTCTTGTCAACAAGTTTGACTTCCATGTCACCGCGGTGAACAGGGAAAGAACCGGGGCGGATCTTACGTTGGAGGATGAACTGTTTCATCTGCGATTTCGCGCGGTGTTTCATGTTCATGCCGTAGAGTGCGTAGATGAGCGTACGTTCGTGAGGCTTAGGATGACCACCTTTGTAGTGTTCATGGACGGGGTAGTCAGAGAACTCGTGGGTATCACCTAATCGGCCTTTGCTAGCAGCTTCAATGAACTTGCTAGCCAACGCCGCTTCGTAATGATGTTTCGAGCCGAAAGCGGATGCGAAATGACCTTTCGGCTCTTTCTCCATGCCTACACGCTGATCAACCTTGACGTTAGCTACCTGGCAGATGTAGGCAAAGTCTAGGAAGCGCTCCATACAGTATAGATGAGCGAAGCCCACGCAGTCGTACGGATCAACTACACCAGTGCCGTAGGTTCGGTGCTTTTCATCGAATGCGACGCGGTAGTTGCCGACTTCCGCTGTGCCTTTGCCGGTGTACACACGCATTGGGCATGCGTCGAAGCGACAGTGGCTATGAGATGCAGAAGCGTAGCGGCGGGCGGAGTCTGAGGCTACGGGCTGAATCCAAATGCGCAGATTGTCGCCGGGATACTGCGTGATATACTCATGAACTTCGCGGGCAGTCATGGTACGCTTCTTGAACTCGTGCATGCCGTTGTTTTGGCTGTACTCGAACTTGAAATCTGATGATGATGACCAGTTGCCGTGAGGAAGAGGCTTGGTCTTGTATTTGCGACCTTCTTCCGCATGCTGGTTGATACGAGCGGTACGCGTGGTTTCGCCCCTAGTTGTGTTGTTAACGCGAACCCAGGGCTTGTCGTCGCACTTCTTTGGCTTTTCTCCAGCTCGCACGACAGCTACTTTGACCGGTTTGCTAACCGAGCTCGCGCATGAAACGTTAGAATCGTGACGGGTATCTACTGATGATCGGGTTCGATGTGTAAGCTGCCTGGGAGGTTGCTTGGCGACATAAGCGTCGTCGTCAGATCCGAAGCCAGATTGAGTACGTTTACGTTTGGGTAATTGCGGTGCAGGGCGACTGGATTGGCGAGAGCTTGGAGGAAAGGTTTTATTGAATTGATATGATCCAGTATACTGTTCGGTAGGCATCGCCACGTATCCAGTGTGCTGCTGCGGAAACGGCTGTTGTGTTGGTTGGTAGTACGGCTGAACAGGGTATATCGAAGTGAATGGGTCAGGATACGTCTGTGAAGGCTGGGCAGCAACAGGGTACTGCGACATGTCCGGCATGAACGCGTTGCCACCTGGAAACGCGGAGAAGCCGGGAGTGGTGTCTAAGAACCGAGATGGCATATGGAAGTTAGTATCCGAAAGACCAAGATCCTGCGAGAAGTCATAGGTAGGGTCAGTAGGCTGGTAGCCATGCGGCTCGACGGGAAGCAAATCAGTCGACACTTGTCCAACCTCATTCTGGTTGACGAACTGGTGTAACTGATCATTGGTCTTATCTTGCACAGGCGCAGATACAAATCCTTGACCAGTGTGGTTTTCTTGGGAGGGGTCACCGAGTTGGAATGCGCCTGCATTGACCTCGTTCAAAGCCTCCTCATCCATGGGCACATCGAGGCCATTATTAGGTATCCAGTTGAGCGCGTCTAGACCAAATATATCATCGTTGCAATCTTCGACGAGATTAAATTGCGTCAAGTCAAACTCGCCGAGAAGGCAAGGATCGATTGTACTGGGTAGACCAAGCACAGCGCCGGAGCCGGTTCCTGACATGGTATGAGCATGACCTGTTCGTAGATGAGTATCTGTTATCGAATCGGGCTGACGAGCGTGAAGCGTTGGAAGTCCTGACTGTAAGTCGTATTGGGTGTATGCGTTCGTGGGTTGATCCTTGTGCGACCTCGGAGAGATTGGCGAGATGCGTGAAACGGTAGATGGATACATAGCTTGAGCGATCTGATAGGTTCACGGCGTACGGGACGCACAGATAACACGGCTCACATCGTATATATATGAGAGCTCACGAGATTCTTTCATCGAGTCTTGTGAGGTTACAGATTTGAATTGGACAAAGGAATGTCGAGTGTAAGTATACTATGGTGTGCATCATTGTGCTGAGCTACAAAGCGGCCTTGAAAGGGCGGCCAGGCGATGAATTACCAGCATTGTTCGAGTTGCTCTATCAATTGAAGAACAGCCCCACTCATCATCGTGGCGATGGCTTATCTCAAGCAGATGTGGTGTTGAACAAGACTCCGGACCGCCTGGTATCGTGGACAAGTGGATCGTATAGACGAGTAACTATTCTTTGTTAGCCAATGAGCTCTCTAATGTGGACGGAGAGAAACAGGTAGCCAAAGAAGGTGATCAGATTATATAAAGCAAAGTTTTCGACACAATTTTTACGAACAGGTCTGTGAATTTTGTCTTTTTTTCATCATGAAAGGGGAGGATGTAGGAATGACTGAACTTACCAAACGCTGGATTAGTCTCGCGCTGCACTAGAAGTGAGCATGTACGAAGTCTAATATATAGTCATGTCGCGCGCTGTGACGCGCTGAGAGCCCTGATCGAAGGCACATGCGCGAGGCTTTCGCAGAAGATCACTTTGCACATTATGATCGTGAGAATCCAAGATCATAGTGTTCAAAGACGTTCCCTTGCGAACGCACTGCGCATGTGAAGTAAAAGTTGAGGCGCGGCAGCTCGAATACAAAGAAGAAAACTTTTGCCGAGGCACTAGGGTCGGAGCAACTATGTCGCCGAGATCCCGGACCATCTTCAACCACACGGGCCTTCCCGCCTTGACACCTGTGGCCACAACCGTGGGCCTTACGAACACCGAGTGACGTTCGCCTCAGGTATCCACGGGTTCGGTTCTCTCCTAATGTTGGGACGATCAAACATGCGCGCCGCATCTGCACGGGAGTCGTTTGGGGATGTTCCCTTCTGCATCAGGCCCACGCGAAACACGCCTCACGCGCCCTCGTCAAACACGGACTGTTTAGTCAAACATGAGAGCTTTCGAGAACACCAACCTATCGCATCTTGGAGAGCAGATTGATACATGGTCAAAAGTACACTCCGCTGTCAATCATATCATGATTCCAGATTTGTATAACATCGAGCGCGTTTCCTTATTGTCATGCGGAGAACGAGTCGTCGAGGCTCTTTGTATCGAAACTTGTGTTTCTGATGAGTCAACTCCAGACCTATGCGGATGGCACTACCTCCTGGAATATTCAGTAGTGCAGCCCATCCATCGGCAAAGCCGAGTATTCACAGGCATATCCACACTCAGATATGGTACGACTTCGCAATCCGACGAGGCTTTCTTTCATAGCGTCATCTATGAGGCCAGCTTCCCCAGCGTACATGACCTCGGTGCTCATGCCCACCCGCTGGACGTGGAAGCAGTGTTTCAAGATCGACGAGCCTCTCCAGACACCATGACCATGACAACAGGGGCTCCCACGCATCAAACATTCTTCGGACTGCCGAGAACACTGTGGCGGGATCTGATCCGCATGGGTTACATTACTAAACACCAAACATCTGGGATGCTTGAGCTGCGACATCCAGGTCATTCACAAACCATTCGGGTTACCACCTACGTCAGTAGCCAATCGGTGAAGGCTTGCAGAATAACAAAGTTCATGACCCATACCACACACCCGATCCCTCACCATGCATGCAACGCGTTCTACCGGGATGTTTCTTACCGCGGTCATCGTGGTCAAGGCCATGCGTTCATAATGCCCGGCTACCTCTACCTGCAGCTCGGATCCTTCACCGTCGTGCTACTTCTCGACTGCTAATCTTCCGCCAGTGCGTGGTTGGTCCTTTTCCGATTTCGGACCTTATAACTTTACATCAATGTTAATTTCCTTCTAAACTATGGCAAGCGAAAAGCTTATGGAGCTGGTGCTCCTGGGTCGAATCACCTTCTATGGTATAATAACACTTATCATCTTGAGCTACGTTACAGTTGGTTTACGGTTATGGGTGCGGTATCGCATCACGAGATCTCCAGGTTGGGACGACGCTGCTATGGTGGCCTCACTTTTACTGTTTACTTGCTATTGCGCTTTCGTAATGGCCATCACCTTTCGGAGCATGGACCGAAAACTCTTCGGCGAAGAGGACATCCACGTCACTTTAATTGTGAGTATGCCTCTAGACTTACTATCCCTTACAGTGCTGATTAGATTGCAGTTTATTCAACTTTCCGAAGTCTTTTACGTCCTAACGACGAGCTTCCTCAAAGTCTCGCTAGGTCTCTTCTTTCTAAGGGTCCTTACCAAGAGATGGCAAAGGCATCTATTTCACGTCGTTCTCGTCATCAGCGCAACATACGGCCTCTACTACGTCCTGATCATCATTTTTCATTGCGGGGACCCAACACGCCTCGCCGATAACCTGCGATCACCGTCATCGCCCAACTGCTTGCCATCCGTTCTTGTTCTCACCTCCGGGTATCTCTACGGCATCGTCAACGTAATCGCTGACTGGACGTTTGTATTGATACCAATCTCAGTCCTGCTGGATAGTGACCTCGATCGAAGGAGTAAGATCAGCGTTAGCATGGTTATGGCGTTGGGTGCAGTGGGCAGTGTGAGCTCGATCCTCAGGATGGTCTACCTGAAGGGACTGGGATATAACGGCCCGGGACTACATGGTGAGTCTTTCTTCACCTACATGACAGCATTCAAGCATGTACTAACAACTATCTAGTCGACGCCGTCAAAGCAACAATATGGGCGACCGCCGAGCCGGGCACAGGCATAATCGCAGCATCAATCGCCATCCTTCGGCCGCTCTTCCGCAAAATCGCTTCGGATGTTCGATCAAAGGCGTCTTCTTACTCCAACTCACGCAAAGGGTCCCTACAGCCCGACGACTCCATTGCGTTGAGGAGCCAAGACATGGTCGCGCAGGAGATGAAGAACAACAAGAAGCACAGCGTGTACAGAGTCAGCGAGGATCTAGATCCGTGGAGCCCGACGATTGTTGCCACGGCGGATGTGCAAAGGATGATTGTAGTGAAGGGGAGGATGAGCCCAGCCCCAGGTGCACCACCGACGAGGCACGATAATATGATATAATGCATTGAACTGCGATTATGCGTACATAAGACATTAGAAGTTCCACAGAAGACCCTGGCGGACTCAATGTGCTGTCAGTAATTCAAATTATTACTTTATGATTAAGACCAGCCTACCTCCTCGGCCCCAGATGTGTTGTCGTCTTGGACTATCGTCGATTCAATGTGGTATCCCAAGCTGCAATCGATCTCTTGTCAGCTGACCAGACAAGGGCGTATGGCTCAACAAAGGCCTCTCGACTATTGATGAATGTCGCGGCGCTCATCACTACCTCGGCGCGCTGATGGAGTGGTGGAGTAGGGCTAACGGATGACGTGCCGAAAAAGGCAAAGGCGGGAGGGCGGCCCCAGGAACAGCGGAACATGGCGAGTTTGGAGCTTGGAATTGGTTATCCCAAGGTCACCAACCATGACATAACTACCCACCTAACCGCGCCATGCGTCCTTCGCAGCAAGAGACGACATGTGGAAACCGAACCTCCACGCCCGAAGAGGCACGATAGGACACCGCGTTGCCTGCATCTGCGTCCACGCCCCCAGGCTGCCCCCGACCTATCACCACCCCCGCCAGCGACGCTGCTTCCACGAATACTTCATAACCCACATACCCTCGACGTCGCTGCATCCTGACTCGCGAGTTACCCAGCCTGCGCTGCACCACAAGCTGCCGCGCGACAAGAGCACGCCTTACAATGCGGACAAGTCGGGGCGGTCGCCGGCTGCCGTCGTGGGCACGTCGCGCGAGATGACCGTCGTCCGCATACCATTGAAGAGCGCAAAACACCATTTCGGCGTCTCCTTGTCGCGGGGGTCGCGGCCATACAACGAAGATGCGTTCCAGGCGGGCACCATTGACCTCCCCGCTTTCGCACGGCGGCGCCCCATTTCTCTGAGTAGAAAGGGACAAAGCGCAGACACCGAGGTCACACCAGACGTAGGCGCGAGTGGAGATCCACAGGTTTTCTACTTTGGCGTCTTCGATGGCCATGGCGGCGCTGAGTGCTCCGGCTTCCTGAGGGAGCAGCTGCACGACTACCTGGAGAAGGCGACCAAGCAGTTTGAGCTCACCAGCAGCCTCGCACGGGAAAGAACCGAGACCCAGTCTGGCAACCCAAAGGCCAAGGGCGAGGCTTCTTCTGGCGATCGAAGGCAGAGGGACAAGGAGAGCCTAAATGCTATAGAAACGCATACGCCACCGGGCACAACAGCTATGAAGCCGCCACAGCCTGGAAGCAAAGACCAGCTGCCAACCGCCGGCTCCAAATCTATGGACGGCCCAATCGAAGGCGTTGCCCCAGTGCGACAGTCAGACAGCGTGCGGAAAGCTGAAGAGCTCGAGCAGCAGCTGGTCAAGCAATGGAAGGAGCTCGTAGGCGGATACTTCAGACGCTTCAAGCCCGAGTACTTCTCCATGTCCGCGGGCGGACGCGGCCATCCTGCCGAGAAAGAAGTCATTGAGAAGCGCCACACCAGCAACCCCACGATACCCGAAGACGTCAAAGAAGGCATTGGAATTGAAACTGTCCTCGAATACGCCTTCCTCAAAGCCGACTACGACTTCGTCGCCGCCCAAGTCGGCAAGAAAGAAGAAGACCCCGTCCGCGCAGACAAGGCTCTAAACGACGACGACATCCTCGGGCAGCCCTCCCGCCAAACCAGCACAAACATC